TTAATCTTGGAGCAGGAAGTTAAGAGTTACCAGGAGATTAAGCTGTGGAAATCCCTACTGCATCCTCAGCGTGTTCTGGGATGTCAGTGGAGGACTTCATCTTAGGACCATTCCCAGATAAGACATCACTCTGGATGAATTGCTGTCTATAGTGCTGATATGCTTTCATCTTTGGCAATTGCTTTATTCAGTAGAACAAGACATTATCTGCTCTTGGCATCTGGACAAGACCCTGCAGCATTTGCAGACGTAAATTAATAAATCTCTGAGTTTTAGAGATGGTTGATATCATTTGGCACTTTCTGTGAATTACCTGAGGAGAGTGGCCTCATCTGGATCATAATCTGTAAAAATACACACCAAGAATCACCTTTCATTCCTCCCACCCAACATTTCTTGCTTGTTTATTACAGAAACAGGCTTTAAGCAACCTGGTCTAGTGGATGGTGTCCCGGCCCATGGCAGGGGGTTGGAACTGGATGAGCTTTAAGGTCCCTTCCAATCCAAACCATTCTATGATTCTATGAAAAAAGGTGTATTTTGGCCAATTGAGACATCAGGTAGTACGGAAGAGAAGGCAATTTTAAGCTGTCATTTGTCTCTGTATTTACATCAGCTCTGCAGGGTGCACAACAGTGCAGAGAGATGTCTGAGCTGACTCCGCCCATGGTGATACGCCAATCCAGGTTTAACGTACCAGCTTGGCTTTATAATGGATATAAACCATCACAGCCGCAGGACTCAAAGTGTTGGTCTGGTGTAAAATCACAGTCTTCAAAGCTGTTTAAATGGAGAGAGGTTAACTGGGTCAGAAAGTGAAGTGATTATCCATGCCATTTTAATCCTACAGCTGACATAAATTTGGTATAAAAGTAGAAAGCCGGCAGTTGATGATATATAGTCAGTGCATGGGTCTGTCCGCATCAAATTTATTCTTCGGAAAGCTCATAGAGTACAGAGGTGGTTAATGGTGAGGAAACCATGATGGGTAGTTACTCTGTCTAGATGACTTCCAGCTCACAAACCTGCTCTGCAAATGGCTTGTCTCAGAGAATGGTCTTGCTCATGCCATTTGTGATATAGGAGCAAGCCTGAATGGCATACAGCAGAACTTGGTGGACCTAGATGGACCAGATGTCAGCTGTGTATTCAATATAACTTTCACCAGACATGCCCAATATGCAATTTGGGTCTGAGGGATGTTCATTGATTATAGAGTATTTACAAATTTCAGAGCCAGACCTGATCTCTTGCGGGGCACAGGAACATGGGTTTACTATTCTGGTTCCCACCAGCCTCTGAAGTATCTCCATCTCCGGCCAGCATCAGTGGCCTCCTACAGGAACCCAGGGGAGGCCAGGAGAGCACGTACTTGGCAGGGATCTGTGTCTCACCACATTGCATCCATGCCTCTTGCTTTGCAGAGTACTCACATTGATGGGCACAAGAAGAACAGTGTGCGGCACAAACTGGTCTCCTTAACACTCAAGAAGAAATCCAAACTGACGGAGGAGGTGAGAGGAGACGCTGGGCCGCCTGGCAGCACAAGTGCCGTTGGATTGTCTGCAGCCCTCTCTGACTCTCTTCTGCTTTTCCCTAGACAACATAGAACCAGCCCTCCTCTGGGTTTGGCGCTACCTGTCTCTCTGCCTGAAAGATTTAAGGAGTGTTTAAGGGGAAAGGTTGGCTTCCCGTGTCTCCTTGAGTCATTCTGCACCTCGCGCCGGCCTCCCCTCGGCTCCCGTTCTCCATCCATCCAGCACCTTCCCTCCCCTCTTTCACAGCCCTCCATCCAGCTGCCGACTCCTCTCACCACTCTGTGATGATCTCAATGTTATCCCTGCTTTTAGCTTCCTGCCCTCCACCATGGCATAGGTAGCAGTGGTGGGGTTTCCCACCCGTCCTCTGGTCAGCATTCCCTATGGAAGCAGTTAGCCCAAGCTCAGAGCTTTTGAAAGTCCCATCTCAAAAGAGTGAGAAGCAATAAATCTTTTGGTGGGGTGGGGATGAAAGTAATGCAAAGACATGGATTCAGTCTTCTTTCACACACTACCATGTCCACTTCCAGATCAGGCACCATCTCACCTGGCTATAGCTGCTTGAGAGCAGGAAGATGCTCTCTGAGATAGTCACCCTCCTTCCCACTAGTGTCAGTGGGGTGACCCAATCCAGCTTAATGTAGCTCTGAACACTCTCTGGAAATGGCTATCTTTCTCCAGTAGCTCTAACTGGAGACTGAGTTGACTAGCTGAGACAGAGAGCTCGTAGGTGGACAATTGCCATCCCTGTTTCCACACCAGCACCATGCTTATACGCTTTTGGTTGCATCATTAGAATGGGGAGCAGGTCCATTTTGTCAGTGTTCTAATGATTATTGTAATATGATTGATCAGAGCTGGGATGCAAGGATGCCATTGTAGAAACCCTTGGCAAAGACTAAGCAGGTGGCAGTGTGACTAGAACAGGACCATTTTCAGCTTCACCCATATGTGATTAAAGCCAACAAAGTCAAGCCCTCCCATTGCTGTGAAAGTGCTAGACTGAACTTCTGAGACCCCTCCTGGCTGGCGGAGAGAGCACCACACATTTGGGATGGGGCTGGGGGGGGGATGAAGTAACTGGTTGTACTGAAAGAGAGCAATGTGTCTGGTTGGCAGGTGACAAAGAGACTTCATGATGGTGAGTCCACGCTCCAGGGTAATAGCATGCTTGAAGACCGACCCACCTCCAACCTGGAGAAGCTCCATTTCATTATTGGTAATGGCATCCTCAGGCCAGCCTTAAGGTTAGAAATCAAGACAAAGGCATGAACATGCCATTCTTTCCATTTCTTCTTCCTTGAGCTATTCTTGAGGTATTCAAACAATTTTGCTACTGGGTGCAGCTTTACAAAGCTCTCATTATAGCCTTTTTCTGATTGTGTTGTATAATATGGGCTGGGCTGGATCATGTTCCTTACTGCCCCTATCAGGCCTGATGGAAAGACCATGCAGAGGGACTCAAAAGCTTCTGAAATTGCCAGTGGCTACTGGGTTGTTTTTCTAACACTCACTTTTGTTGTTCACTACCCTTCGTTTTCTATGTTTGTGTGAATATTTTTAATGGTATAGTAATGGAATAACTCAAGTTGTTAAATCAAGCTTTCATAATTGGAAAGTGTCAGATTGAGGCCAACTCCCCATCTTTGGTTCACCCCATTTATGTGTGCATTATAATACAGTCTTTGTTTATGTAGTCTCACACTCTTCTCACTCACACTCATCTACTCACTCCAGGAACAGGGTGAGCATCCTCATCTGATCACCAGCTTCTCTCATTTTCATTTTATCCTCCCAGTTCACCATTAAATCATTAACATTGCTTTCCTGCATAAAGTCAGCTCTGAAGGCAGACCTGGTAGTGTCCCATGGGCTTTCCCATGGGATTTGTCAGTGTAACAGGTAGGCTGACATTTTTATTGCCTTCCATGTAGATGAGGAAATATTATTATCCCTTATTTTGCATGTAGACAACTAAGGTTGAAGTCAAAAGTGGACATTAAAACCCAAATTGAGATACCTGTCAATGTATGTGCCTACTTGCACATAAGAGCTGGACAAACCTGCTAGAGCTAATAGTTCCCAACACTTTCACAAAGCAAATTCAGGTGTCTCAAGAGGAACAACCAGCAAATGGAGACTCCCAGCAGATGGCCCTCTATGAAAGGTAGTTCAGGTCACTCTGTTGGCATTCCTGGGAAATCTTTGTAAGAAGCCAGACTAGGCCCCATCATCCAGACACGTGCAGGCAGAGTCCGTGTCTCCCTGTTCCTGTTGAAAACCACCACCTCATTAACTCAAATGCTTTTTTCATTCCTATTGCAGGGATGAAATCTATTGTCAAATCTGCAAGCAGCTGACCCAGAACCCATCCAAAAGCAGCCATGCCAGAGGTTGGATCCTGATGTCCCTCTGTGTGGGATGTTTTGCCCCTTCTGAGAAGTTTGTGAAGGTAAATTGTAGATGATATTTGTCTCATGGATTATCTACCAATGCATTTTCTTTTCCACCCCTGGGACTAGTTTTATTCCCAGGTTTCACAGTGGAAGGAATCCTGGTCTTTATATTTGCCAGGAATGAAAATGATACAAAATTCCTAAGAAAAATGTGCATGATCCCAAGTTCAGTGTCCAAAGTGGATCAGATCACTCCTGGGAACTGATTCTCTCTTTCCTGTGACTCTAAAGGAAATGTAGACAACCAGTTCAGATGATGCCTCCTGCACAGTAGGTGCGTGAAGATGGGATTAAGTGACTTCTGGCAGGGAAGTTGGTTGTGAGAGGCTGCAAGTGGAATCTGCACACCCAGGATAGCCCACATTTCTCCCCTATTTCTCACATGCAAAGGTCTATGCATTCATTCAAGCATCTACTGGCTTTGACAGTACGACCTCAGGCACATCCTTTAACAAAATTGGCAAGGAATAGTACTACACAGCTAATTATAAATATAAAAGATGCACATAGAAAGGGAAGGGTTTAATTTACCTGGCACTATGTTTGCACAGTTGCTCTTCGCATGTACAACTTGCCCTGCCATGTGCCACACTGAAAACATCCAACTCTCAACAGATCTGAACTGTCTGTCTTCCAAATGAGTTACACACCAAGAGTCTGACTAACACCCACTGGACTACTCAAGTCAATCCCATGCCTAAGAGTTTGGCTGCTCAGGGCAAAGGGCTCAGCACTACGTCTTTGCTTTGCTATGGAATAAGACCTCCTTTGTCCCTCTCAGATCTTTGAATATTGGAGCCTGGTCCTGCTCCCAATCCTTCTGGAGACAAAAATGTTCCATTAATTCCCATAAATATCAGATCAGGTACTGGGTCCTCAGCACTGAAAGAGCTGAAGCCAGGAATAGAAATCCCTCCTTCATTCTTGTCAGCATGAAATCTAATAAAGGAGATAAATCACTGGCAAAGTGGCAGAAAATGGAATTAAGTCTGGAAATGAGAGCTGAGGAAGTGTGTCACAGGAGGTTGCGTGGGTTTAAATCTTTAATAGCAGGAGATTATTTGAGGTGAGTTTAGCACTTCTCAGAAATCATTTATGGGCAGCTATGGAGACTCAGACATAGAATCATGGAATAATTGAGGTTGGAAGAGACCTTTAAGGCTCATCTAGTCCAACCCCTCCTTCAATAAGCAGAGACATTTCCAACTAGATCAGGTTCCTCAGAGCCCTAACCAACCTGACCTGGAATGTTTCCAAGATGGAACATCTACCACCTTTCTGGGCAAACCGTGCCAGTGTTTCACATATTCCTCTGCCCAAAATTGTGGTCCATGCTGAAATAAGTGGCAATATACCCAACTATTTTGGAAAGGGTTTATATTAATTCCATGTTTATTCATCACCCTTTTGCACCTTGGGCTGTTGGAGATCATAGGCAGCCTGTGGTGACTGAAAATCCTTGAGTATGAGTGCAAACAACACTTGCAGCAGCCCACACTGTGGTTACCTTTCAAGGCTCCAGTCTTGCAGACAGACAGTGACTTGGGCAATGACTTGGAGCTCCTCTGAAGCCATTGTGGTTATCCATAGGGACACCATTGGCACCTTCCATCTGAAAGTGTTGTATTGCACAGGGCTTTGAGCACCCTGGTCTAGTGTGAGGTGTCCCTGCCCGTGGCAGGGGGTAGGAACTAGATGAGCTTTAAGGTCTGTTCCAAACCAAAAAATCCTGTGATTCTATGATTCAAAAGAGTCAATTAGAACTGAATATTTTGAGAAGGATTTAGCTGAAAATGAGAAGGTCTTTGATTTATTTTCCTGCTCCCAACAAGGAAGGTCACTCTTAGACATTTTTATCACATTATATGCAAAGCATGGGTCAGGACACATTAGCACTCCTGTTCTTTGTACCTGTCTTTCAAATAATACTGACTTTGTTGGGAAGGTTCCATCACAAGGAAGGAGAAATACAGAAAACATTCAATTACATAGTTCATTATTAACAGCATAATCAAAACAACACTTCTACACAGCATCAGCTGCTTGTAATCATTTACAACAGCTCCCACGCATATAACCTGGCTCTATTATCTAGTTATTTCAGAGTATTATAAAAGTTATTATTAACAGAGATATCTGTCTCTCTACCCATGTTATTTATGGACTGGCAGTGTGATAGAGCAGTCTGTGTTACTAAAGGAGCAGATATGTGTTATCACACAGAGAACTCTTCATCTTTCTATGAAGTCTCTCTGAAAGACATGATTTAGAGAACTATAACTCTTAGCTACCAAGATATTTATTAAGTCTTTCATATTTTGGAATTCACTGGATTTAATTGCCTCTGTGGAAAATGTGGTTGTATTTTAACATAGAGTGAAGTGTTTCAAATTCTGGTTTAGTATCTTCTAAAATGCAGTTTAAAGTCTGACTAAAGAAACATCTGTTTAATGTCACTGTGAAAGATCATTTGTACAGGCAGCTAAGTGGCATTTGCTTACAATTCCCCTGGATCCTTCCCATTCCCCTGGATCGTTATCATTATATGTCTTTTTCATTCACTCCCATCTTTTTGGCCAACGCTCAGTAACATTTTATAATACATCCTTAAATTACAGAGATAGAAATCAGAAATAGCAGGAACAGAAAACTGCTGCACTGGCTTTGATCAAAGGTCTGTCAAGGCTGGTATCTTATCTCCACAAGGCCAGAAATGTGCAGTACAAGAAAAAGTCAAGGGTGCAGAGTGTCCTACACCCTCCCAGCTTCCAGCAATGTGATGTAGGAACGTCCTGAGCCTGAGTGGTATCACTAACATTAGTCCCAGAGGCCTTTTCTCCAATAGAACATTGCTTTTGAACCTCTGCAAGTACTTGGCCTCAAGAGCCAATGTTCTAACCAATGTGTTCCTTGCCACCAACAGTATTTAAGGAACTTCATCAATGGAGGCCCCCCGGGTTATGCTCCCTATTGTGAAGAGAGGCTGAGGAGGACGTTTGCCAATGGGACAAGGACACAGCCACCCAGCTGGCTGGAGCTGCAGGTATGAGCCCCTCCATCCCCTCCCCAGGCAGCTGGGGCTCAGGGTTGAAGCCTTTCACTATCGCAGGAACCACATCTCAAGCAGGACAAAAAGTAGGGCAACAGAATGCCTATTTCTTCCAAGAATGTTCAAGTATTTCAAAGACACTGCATTTCACATGCATCCTGGCTTTGCTCCAGAGTGTGTTTTAGATCAATCCTTTTGGCTACATCAATACTTGTAAATTAAATGTGCTCAAGAGTGCTCTCCGACATTGAGGCCAGCTGGCATGGAGCAAACCAGCATCTATGCTAGGAAACAGCCTTGCAGACGAAAGTGGCTGCAGGCAAACAAACTGCCTACTGAGAATGGTCCCTGGGACTTGTCTGGGGATAGCTGTAGCTGGAACAGGCAGTCTGTGCATTAATTGCTCGTTTTCTATACTGGTTTACTAGCATAGACAACTGTGCTCCAGTGCCCAGGAGCATTCCCAAGCATGCACTGGATTAGGCACTTTGATGATTGAACATATTAAATTAGAAATCTGTGATTTCCAAGTGCTTTCAGTACCTGACTGTGCATTATCATAGAATCGTAGAATGGTTTGGGTTGGAAAGGACCTTAAGATCATCCAGTCCCAACCCCCTGCCATCACCTTCCACTAGAGCAGGTTGCTCCAAGCCCCTGTGTCCAACCTGGCCTTGAACACTGCCTGGGATGGGGCAGCCACAGCTTCTCTGGGCATCCTGTGCCAGCGCCTCAGCACCCTCACAGGGAAGAGCTTCTGCCTTATACCCACCCTGACCTTCCCCTGTTTCAGTTTGAACCCATCATCCCTTGTCCTGTCACTCCAGTCCCTGATGAAGGTCCCTCTCCAGCATCCTTGTAGCCCCCTTCAGACACTGAAGCTGCTCTGAGGTCTCCACGCAGCTTCTCTTCTCCAGGCTGAACAGCCCCAATGTTCTCAGCCTGTCTCCATACGGGAGCTGCTCCAGCCCCTGATCATCCTCGTGGTCTCCTCTGGACTTGCTCCAACAGCTCCATGTCCTTCTTACATTGAGGACACCAGAACTGCACCCAGTGCTGCAAGCAGGGTCTCACAGAATCAGAGCAGAGGGGCAGGATCACCTCCTTCAACCTGCTTAAAAGAATGTGCTGATAGTATTGAAAAGCAGTTAGTCAGGGGGATCGGGAGTTAGACGACTGTTACCACAGCGGGGTGGAAGCATACGTACGTAGTCTCGATGGGATTGAAATGCACATGCCTTTATAAAGTCTGACTTTAATCCATTAGGCAACCAAGTCCAAGAAACCAATCATGCTGCCTGTCACATTTATGGATGGGACAACAAAAACGCTGCTGACTGACTCGGCAACAACTGCTAAAGAGCTCTGTAATTCCTTGGCCGACAAAATCAGCCTGAAGGACCGATTCGGCTTTTCACTTTACATTGCACTTTTTGACAAGGTATATCTTAAGTTATCTATCTTCATGATTAGCTCTATGAGAGAAGAGGAAGGTTTTTGCCACCACAGATCTTCCAGAGGGCAGAAGGGATATTTCTACAGTGCAAGTTCCAGCATGTTTTTCACATTAAGAGTAGTCAAATGCTGGAGCAGGGTTGTAAGAGACACCATAAAATCTCCTTCTTTTGAGCTATTCAGAATCTAACAGGAGAAGGCAAAGAGCAACCTGGTCAAAGATGGACCTGCTCTAATCAGTGAGCTGGAGCAGAAACCTCCAGAAAGGCCATTCAACCTCCATCATTCTGTGGTGCTCTGCTCTTGCTCTCAGTCGAGCTACTTTGAAGTGAACTTCAAAAAGTCAGGATTTGTATGAAAAGGAGCAACTACATTTAATTGAAACCTATTGGTTGAAATCAAGCTTCCAAAATGAGCTAAAATCCAAACTGCCGTAACTCCATTGGCATTTAACCAGGTTTGTTTAACCTAAAAACTCACCTTTTTCAGAAAATAAAGGTGAGCATAAATGAAAAGGGAAACCAGAGCTGGGATAAAACTTCACCAGGTTTGACAGTAGCTGCCAACCAATGAAATAGACCTATTCCTACAGCTACTGTGTGAGAGTATTAAGTATATTCTCCCCTCCAAATGTGGCCTCCTCTGCCTGTAGGTGGAGAAGAAAATGGTTTCTACTCTATTTTCTTGGTCTTTTTTGAGGGGACATTAATCCAGGGATGTTCACTCCAAGGATATATAGTGCATTAGAGCTCCATGCCAAACCACAGTGAGAATACAAAAAGGATAAATCTTTTGTAACAGGACAGGCTTTTTATTCTGCTTTATTTAGCATGGTTAGATCCAAGTCCATGACTTTGATAGAGGGACTTTCAATACACAGTATGAATAAACAATACTATAATGTGATGTAACAGTACCAATAATGGGACTGTTGGCTCTGCTAACTCAAGTTGATGCTCTCCTTTCATTCTGGATGGGAAACTGGGGCTCAAAACAAAATGGCTTGCCTAGCTATGCTGTAGACATATTCAATCTTGGCTGCGTAGTGGAAATATATATTTTGATTCATTTTGATTATAAAAGAAGTCTGGATGAAAGACTCTGAGGTAGAGACCTCTACCTAGAAAGGTCAGCATTTAGTTGGGTGAATCATAGAATCACAGAATGGTTTGGGTTGGAAATGACCTTAAGACCATTTAGTTCCAGCCCCTTGCCACAGGAAAACCTTCCGCTAGACCAGTTTGCTCCAAGCCCCATCCAACCTGGCCTTGAACACTGCAGGGATGCCCCATTTCCCTCTGCCCTGACCAGGTGTCCTCGCTGGGGAGCGGCAATGACCATGTGATGGACGCGGTGTCTCAGTGTGAGCAGTACGCCAAAGAGCAGGGAGCGCAGGAGCGCAACGCGCCGTGGAGGCTCTTCTTCAGGAAGGAGATCTTCACCCCTTGGCACAACCCGAATGAGGACAATGTGGCCACCAATCTCATTTACCAGCAGATTGTGCGAGGGGTCAAGTTTGGGGAGTACCGGTGCGACAAGGTACGTGGCCTCAGCTGTGGTCTGGTCCTACATGTGTCCTCAGCATGGTGAATTTCACCAAAGAGGATGAGAAGTCTTCCTCTCAACACCTACTAGCCTGGGGATTATGGTGTTCACTTGGGAAACTTAAGCCAGAGTAACCAAATCCTCTTGGCTGGGGACAGGCTGGATGTTCCCATGTGCTGCATGAGCACTCTTAGCTGGCGAATTTTGCATGGGAGAGTGAATGGCCACTTCATCCATCAGCCTCAGTTTGGAGGGCCACATGTAGTCTGTAACCAGATCACCAGATCAGGAGTACACAGCAGGATCCTGCTTGGTGAATCCTGCTAAGCCTTAGACATGAGAGATGCTTTTCAGGATACCCAGACCTCTGCCATGCAAAACAACCCCAGTGATGCTGCCATAGGCTGAAGGGACATTGGCAGCAGAAACCTACATTTCCAGCCTCTGGGAGCTAACAAAATTGTTCCAGTGTCACTGAAATGAGTGACATTATGTTTGAAATCATCCAGGTGTCAAGTTTGAGACATGTCTCTTACCCAACACCTAATCATCCTCCTGTGGTCCAGTAGAGTCCCATCACCTTGGGAACTAAATCATCTTTCCCAATCTATATCTCATTAATTGCAGCTATTTTATCCTACCAGAACTCCTGTTCTTTCTTCCTCCTCCTCTCTTGCTACCACTCTCCTTGTGCTATTATCATCTCAGTACTTCTATTATGTCATCCCAAAAGTGCTTGGAATGTAGCTGCACCGAAGGATGTTTTACGGTTCTGCATCATACACAGGTTCTTCAGTTGCTGGGGTTCTCAAGTACAAGGGATGATGGATACATGCAGTTTTCAACCATTAAACTCTGTCTACCACAGCAAAATCACCCACTGCTGATTGCAGCAGCAGACTGAACTGCAAGGAAGGGCTACAAAGAACATGTTCACACACTGTACAGGGTTGCATAGTGCTTGTCAATGGACATGTTAAGGCTTAATCACAGCTTTTAGTGGTCCATCTTCTGAATTTTAGATGTGCAAAAAGCACTGGTGAAGTTCTACTGCAAAGAAGCATCCCCACACCATTCTGAAGGAGCCGTACATCCAATCTCCACAAAGAGCTCCTTGAGTGCTAGAGGATGGATGTTGAAGTGATGGCCTGGTAATAGCATTAACTTGGCTTGTTTGGCTACCACAGGAAGAAGACCTGGCAGAACTGGCTTCCCAGCAGTACTACGTGGACTATGGGTCAGAAATGGTACTGGAAAGGCTTCTAAATCTAATTCCATCCTACATCCCAGACAGAGAGATCACAGCTTCAAAAACAGTGGAAAAATGGGCTCAGCTCATTATAGCTGCACATAAAAAGGTGGGTAAAATACATCACCTATGGGCAAGGACCAAGTCAGGCTTTGATAGCTTTGTCCAGTATCAGCTCTTAGCCTGGCCTGAAGATAAATCAAAGACAAAAGGCAGGTTTTGTACTAGGTGTATGCAGTTTTACCACTAGTTTTGAGGCAAGATCTGACAGAAGAAGACAACCTGTGAGAAGCAAAATGCCATCTCTGTGTTCCTGTTACACAGGATTCTGGTGTTACTGGTTGCATTACAGTGGTGGTTCATGTCTCCAGGCAATGTCAGGACCTGATTGTGCCAGGCATTCTACAAAACCTCTCTGACTTCCCTTAGAACATTTGTGACACCTTCCATAACTCATTACTCATAACTCATGACCTGTCATGAGGGTTGGTCATCCAGGCATGAGAAGTGGCATTTATTTGACAGCAGGAAGCAGCTTCAGATTAAGACCTCTAAAATGTAAGCATCTCGACACATGTTAGGAGTCTCACCTCCCATTACTGTCAATGGAGACCCAGGGATGCAATTCACTTGGATCTTGTAGGTCCTCCATCAGCCTGTCAGCTACATACAGAAGTGTCAGGTATCTGAGGATGTCCTAAATAAAGCTAGATATCTGTTCTTAAGGGCAGTTGAGTGTCTCTTTCCAGCTAAAGGATTGTCAAGCTGAAAGGTAGACCTCAAGGATACCCAGAGTTAGCTGAAATGAATCTCACCCAGATTGGTCATTCCAGATGCTTTTCCAGTCTTCTCAACATCTAATTATTCCCTGAAGTGGGAAGCAAAAACCAGCACTTTGTCCAAACTCTCATTTGTTCCTGTAGGACTTTGTCTCTTAGCCACATTGAGACCTCAATTAATATTAGATCCAGGATCTTCAGGTGACATTAATTGGTTTTGTTTTCTCTCATCCTAGATATAACTGGATTTTTTGCTTCATGTAGGTTGTGGTTTGCTTTGTCTGCAGGGAATTTATACTCAGAAGAGGGCAGACCCCAAGAAAGTCAAGGAAGAGGTGGTGGATTTTGCACGTTTCAAGTGGCCTTTGCTGTTTTCTCGATTCTATGAAGCCTTCAAATTTTCAGGTGAGTCAGTAGAGCACATCCATGAAGCACAGGGTGCTCCATAGCAAAAGGAAGGAGAGACAGGGACTCCACAGCCAAGAAGACTTAATGGACCATCTAGCTGGACATTTTTGCATCCTGATTAGCAATGGCTCAAGCTATGATTCTATTCCTCTTACGAAAAATAACACTGAGATTTTTGATCATTGCATCCTCCTTTGAAATGCACAGATTTGCTATATCCTAAAACACTTCATGAACTGATTGTGTGTCTTGTCTCCAATCCAGGGCCAAGCCTGCCTAAAAATGATGTGATTGTAGCTGTCAACTGGACAGGGGTCTACTTTGTGGATGAACAGGAGCAGGTTCTCTTAGAGCTCTCTTTCCCAGAGATCACGGCTGTATCAAGCAGCAGGTAAGGAGGAACAGACTTAGCTGGTAATCTCCCCATAGACTGGTCTTATTCCAGGCTTTGCCTCTTGGTGCCATTGCTTTTTGGTTTCTTATGTCTCCTATAAAAATATATCTCAGAGGGGGAAAGCTGCAAGGGCAGAGTTTCACCTTGGCCACCATTAAAGGCGATGAATACACTTTCACCTCCAACAACTCAGAGGATATCCGAGATCTGGTGGTGACCTTCCTTGAAGGACTAAGGAAAAGATCCAAGTATGTGGTCTCTCTCCAAGATAACCCAAACCCTGGTAAGTAAATGGCACAGCCCAGTGGTGAACACAGAGATAGATTAATTATTCCAAAGGGATTGGGAAAAAATAATCAAACTAATGGTTGTTTTTTCTTGTAGTGGGAGAAGAATCTGGGTTCCTCAGCTTCCTCAAAGGAGACCTCATAGTTCTGGACCAGGACACAGGAGAGCAAGTGATGAACTCAGGGTGGGCTAATGGGTTCAATGAACGGACCAAGCAGAGAGGGGATTTCCCAACTGATTCAGTCTACGTCTTGCCCACAGTCACCATGCCTCCGCTGGAGATCGTGGTAAGCTGTCTTAGAGTGGCACCACTTGATAGAGTGACATGAGGAGGTCAAAGCTTTCCTGTAGAGCTTAGATCTGTCCAGAGTCCCTTGATGATAAGGTGGAAACCAAAGTAGCTGAGAGAGGTGGCAAGGTGTTCACGGCAGAAGTGGTCTGAGCTTTTCTTCTTTCTTGTTGCTTTGAACACCACAAGCTTGTGACTTGGAATATCCATGAATCGTGCTAGATCCCTCCAGCTGATTACTTGAAGGTGTATTTGGGGTTGGAGGGAATCACTACATTCATGTATGGAGCTGTGGGATCCAAAGCACATTATCTTCATCAGAAAATGATCCACACTATGGGAACATTTGCTATTCCGTGCATTAGTGACTGAGAATGGCACAGAGAAATGACAGTTGCATTAACTGGGTTTAATGGGTTATTCTCATTTACTCTCTGTTCTTCTTTACATTTTGTATCTGCTTCCTCTCTCTGAACACATCAGATATATCTTATATCAAATATACTGGGTGACAGAGACCTTTTCATCCCACAGGCACTGGTCACGATGACCCCTGACCAACGCCAAGACGTTATCAGGACCTCTCAGCTGGCAATTTCAGACAGTGAAGAGAGAGTAAAGCCATACACCTTGGAGGAATTCTCCTATGATTATTTTAGGTGATTTTTTAAACCATCCTCAAAAATTACAGGAATAGGAATCCATGTCCGGGTAGTTTTGGAATCAGGAAGTTTTTGGCTACTGGCAAAGACTGAATATCCCCTTATATGACTTTGTACAACTGAAACCTCCAGTTTAGGTCATGGCATTTGAGCTGAAGGTTTTCCACAGACAAGATACTGGATTTCTTCAGATTGGCTCCACACATGTACAACAGAGTGAAAATTAATATGTGGGAGGCTGTGCTTAGTGGTCTGATACTCCTTTTGTATGACCTCATACACAGCCTCAGACCGTATAAGCAGTAGTTGAATTAGGTGTGGGCATTTTCATCTCATCTCCAAAGATTTAAATGTGCACCACTGCTGGAAGCAGCGGAGCAGACTGATCCCAAAACTCTCACTTCCATTCAGACGGGCTGGCAATCCAAACAAGGAGGCCAGATCCTCTGGGATGTCTTCACCCTAGTGGGCTTGTTCTGCTAGGCATGATTCTTCCAGTGTTGCTGCCCTGAGCATCCATTGCCATCATCCTTGCTTTTGTGATCAGAAGGTTTTTGGGGTAGGGAAGGTTGCTTTGGTGTCAGTACTTGGGTCTGGTCCTTAAGGGACTTTTCTGAGCCCTAGGAAAGTACAAATGGTTCTCTTTGAGCAGAACTGGAGCTGGACACTTGCTTAGCTGTGTCTCTCCAAAATGCATCTACTGTGGAAGGCTGTAGCCCTTATCAGTGTGGATGCAAACTGTGAAGTCCTATTTGGTATAAGAGCTCATTAACCAGGTGCTGTAACCAACCTTCCCAGGTGAAACATTGGCCACAAACTGTCCCTTTTACCCCTGTAACCTCTCCAACTTTCCTCTTGCTTTGCCTTTGCCACCAGGCCCCCTCCCAAGCACACCCTCAGCCGGGTCATGATCACCAAGAGCCGTGGGAAGGACAAGCTGTGGTGTTACACCCGTGAGCCCATCAAACAGCCACTGCTGAAGAAGATCCTGGGCAGTGAGGAGCTGTCCCAAGAAGCCTGCATGGCCTTCATTGATATCCTTCCACTGCCTGGGGAAGCCTTTGGTCACCAGGTCTAACAGGGAATGGGCTAATCAGGCTCTTTAGGGCCCCAAGCAGAGCCATGGGGAGGTTTGTGGTCCCTCTTAAGGGCTTTGGGACCATGTCACAGGCTTGGAGATGGGTCTGATGCTGAAATCTGTGCTCCAGCATCCTTGAGATCTGAGAAGTGCCTACTTAATCAATGAGAGCCAGGGAACAAGTTATTGGGTCCTGCTGGTCCCCACTGCTTAGTAGTTAACCCACCAGCTCTGTTCTGGCTTCTTTCAGCTATGTCTTTCCAAAATGCTATGGCCCTAACTAATGGGGATACAAACCAGTCCACGTGGCCTCAGGGACAGGGTTTGATGCCTGAATATCCCTTATTTGGCACAAAGTACACAGCATGGGAGAGAGGAGCTGTGTGCAGACAGATCCAATCTGTTGAAGTAGCCTTTATCTTTTTGTGAGGCTTTGCCCTACGAGACAAGCTTCATGGTTTGAACAGTTCTGTTGGTAGAACCTGGTTACTGATTATTATTACACTATTGCTGCTACTACTGGGTTCCTCTTACTAGCAAATAATAACAGGAGGAGGAATTAAAAGAACTGTCAAAAATTAAGGGGACTTTTGCAATTTTATCCTTTTCCTTTTGCTGTATTGTATACATTAATTCAGAAAATATGTTCTCATGCAGAATAGTTGCAATATGGCATGATGGTGATCACCAAGGTTTGGTGGACTTGGCAGACCTGGGGTAAAGGTTGAACTTGATGATCATAAAGGTCTCTTCCAACTTAGCTGATTCTCTGATTCTATCATTTGATTTATGTCACTTCAGCTTCACTGGTGTCTGACTGGCTAAAAATTAGCTCTTTCACAGTGGTACCTGTATGTGTGATCAGGTAACCCGTTATCACATCCAGCTTTCTTAGTTCCACATATCCAGACCTCAAAACAGTTCCTTCAACTTGAGATGATACATGATAAAAGGAAAGAACCTGCTGGACGTCTCCTAAAGCAATTTAAAGCCTTTACCATACTCTGTGCCCCCTCCACCAAATTACAGGCACTTCTTTAGTCATGTGTAGGATGTCTTTAATCACATCATCAACACCAGGGCTTCCCCAGCATGCCAATTAGCTGATCCTTGACTCCCACCTCCCACCAGTGCTGAAGTACATGGGTGACTACCCATCCAAAAGGACCCGCTCTGTTAATGAGCTGACAGACCAAATATTTGAAGGTGCCTTGAAAGCTGAACCCCTGAAGGATGAAATCTACTGCCAGACCCTGAAGCAGCTCACAGACAACCACATCAAGTAAGAGCTGTTCATTCTCATTGGTCCAAATACACCAGCACATGTTGGGCAAAGCAGATCTCAGCTTCTTTCCTCCTGGCTTTCTCCTCATGTAGGTACAGTGAAGAGAAAGGCTGGGAGCTGTTGTGGTTGTGTACAGGCCTTTTCCCTCCGAGTAACATCCTCCTGCCCCACGTCCAGAGGTTCCTGCAGTCCCGGAAACATCACCCCTTGGCAGCAGACTGCATCCAGAGGCTCCAAAAAGCCCTGAGGTACATCACCAAAAGGTCTTTTAGCTCTAATGATGCCACAGCATCCAAATACTTGTGAGAAAATATAAGTAGGTGATATTTTGGTGGCTGGGGGGACAGGAAGAGCTCACAGCCTCCCTCTGTGTTCCATCAAGCTGAACAAAAGGGACGTTGGGTGGAGGATAACTGTGTAAAAGAAGCTAGAACTTAAGTTGACGTTGACAAGGTCCTCTCCAGTCAGCCACAATCAAAGCAAATACACAGTCCCCATTACAGTTTTTCTTTCTTCTTTTTAGGAGGCAAAAAAACTAGTACCAAGAAAGTAACTGAAGTTACTTAAAAAAGAATATGTGTTAAAATGGAAGATTTAAACAAAGGATTCTTGCTCTGATGCTGTGGCACTTGCCACCTCCTGTTTTGCAGGAATGGATCCAGGAAGTACCCGCCCCACCTGGTAGAAGTGGAAGCCATTCAACACAAAACCACCCAAATTTTCCACAAGGTTTACTTCCCTGATGACACCGATGAGGTAAATACAGGAGAAGGAAATTCTTCTTTTCTGATAGGATGACTGTCAGTTTCCTTAGTAAAATATCAGAAGTTAATACTGGTTCTGATTCAGAAAGATTCAGCCTTTCCAGAAGACTCTGGACTGGAGCAGTGTAAGGGAAACGCATCCTTCTCTACCCCAACCTGCTCAGGGGGTTGATTTACTGCAATTCATGTTTTTCAAGACATGGGTGCTGTGCTGGTGTTCACTGGAGGCTTCACAGTAGGACCCCAGTAAGAAGGAAACCATGTGGGTTCATCTCCCTTCACTTACAGTAGTTCACAAGCCTTGGATATCAGTTATTGCAGCCTAGACCAATAGATATTGTCCACCCAACTATATACCCAACAGGGTACCATGATGGGGCTCCCCAGGGACTAAGCAGACTATGGCAGCACTGTCAAGTAGGTAACTGAAATGATACTTTCTGACCTGGGATGACACAGAAATCATAGTGCACTCAGGAACCTCTCATTAAGCATCTTACATGCTAATAAAGCAGCTAGTTATGTTGATGCCAGGGCATGTTCTTGCAGCTACTGCTGTCTCATGCTACTGATGAGTCCTGCGAGGCTCGCATCTCCCTCTCCATTCATGCCCTTGGGCACAACTAAATTCTTGTATTTCCAAGTTGGTTTATATGTAAAGCAGTGCACACCCATTGAAGGAAAAGGATGATTCTTCTCCTTGTTTACCTCTAATGGAGAGTTGAGAGAACTGCTGGGATTTGAGTATTCTTTTTCACATGACCAGTAATAAACATGACACTGCTTTATAGACATGCATCTGTGTGAGAGCCAGTAGAAGGAGGCAGTGGGATGCACTTGATGAGTTTGCTGTGATCCTTTTGGCCATGGCAGTCACCCAGGTGGACTGGCAGTGTAGCATCATTTCAGTACAATATGCATCTGCACTGAGGAGCTGCTGAACACCAGCAGCACGGAGCTCCAAGCTGGTCTCTCATGGGATGTAGGACATAGGTCCCGGTGGTTTGGTGGTTTAGGCTGACACAGTTGTGCATGTGGTGGTGAGAAGCTTGAATTCCTTACACTGATGCAAACTGAATCTCTTTAAGTGGGCAAAGCAAAACTGAGATGATGTAAATGCTGAGCACAGCTTAAAAGGCAAAACTAGGACAGGGACCTGCATGCAGGTGGGACAGTTCTTTAGGTATCCCATCCACACATAAAGCAGGAGTCATCTCCTGCCAGCCATCTAGAAGTCAGGCACTTGGTCTAAACCAGGCATCTGACTTCATTAGCATCAGTGAAGGGAGAACTGGGACAAATCAGCCTGGCATCTTGCTCTCTCTATTCCCTCAAATAGCTCTGATAGCTCTGAGGTCCAACAGAATAATCTCTTGTATTGCCTGGGGAGCCCCAGATAAGACAGCACAGGGTATAGATAGAGCATCATAGAGCACAACAGTACAGCAATAGCATGATTGAGCTTCTGCAAATGACCCTTCCCATGCTCAGAGCCACAATCCACAATGTCACTTGTTTCACTGGTGGTGGGTATCTAAATCCCTTTGCACATCCGAGCCTGGAGTTCCTCAAAGACAGCATAAAGTGGAAATTAACCTGGAGGTAGCAGTGGTGAGGATCTTCCTTTCTTTGTAGGCATTTGAGGTAGAGTCCAGCACGAAAGCCAAGGACTTCTGCCAGAACATCTCCAACAGGCTGCTCCTGAAGTCCTCTGAGGGCTTCAGCCTCTTCGTCAAGATCTCTGACAAGGTGAGTGATGCACTCAGGGAGACCCATGTGCCAGGGGGTTGACATTGGTGGACCCAGAGCTATCTGCACCCTCACAGGTGAGGTACATTCCCCTGCAAGCAGTGAGGTGCTTCTGAGACAGATCAAACCTGATACAAGTGACATTCTCAGTCGCACAGCCCTGACTTACAGCAACACAAGAGGGACGTGGACCTCCTCAAGCAAGTCCAGAGGAAGCCCCGGAGCTGCTGCGAGGGCTGGAGCAGCTCTGCTCTGGAGCCAGGCTGAGAGAGCTGGGCTGGGGCAGCTGGAGAAGAGAAGGCTCCTGAAGGGGACACCTTAGAGCAGCTCCAGGGCCTAAAGGGGCTCCAGGAGACCTGGAGAGGGGCTTTGGACAAGGGATGTAGGGACAGGCCAAGGGGAATGGCTTGAACCTGCCAGAGGGGAGATTGAGATGAGCTCTGAGGCAGAAGCTCTTCCCTGTGAGGGTGCTGAGGCGCTGGCACAGGGTGCCCAGAGAAGCTGTGGCTGCCCCATCCCTGGCAGTGTTCAAGGTCAGGTTGGACACAGGGGCTTGGAGCAACCTGCTCTAGTGGAAGGTGTCCCTGCCCGTGGCAGGGGGCTAGAACTAGATGATCTTAAGGTCTTTTCCAATCCAAGCCATTCTGTGACTCTGATTTTATGATTGTATGAATTACCCCAAAGGGCTTAAAACACAGACAGGCAAAACCCTTGTAGTCTGTTGCTGAGTCGGGTTTATAAGATAGGATTCAGAAAGAAAAATATGTGGCTTCGAGCTGCTGCAGGCAACTGGGAGAAATCTATGGAGATATTTATCATGAAGGGAAATGAATTGCTCTGGTGAAACAGGAAGCTGCAATCAGGAGTAATGGGAGAAATTAGAGGCAGAGCCTGTGACAAGGTGCTGGCAGTGGCTTTCTCACATCAACAGTTTATAACACATCACTGTAACCAGGGCAAAGCAGTGAGCAACAACTACAGGAGATGGAGCAATGGCCAACCTTGCCTGTGGCCTCTTGCTATTTGCTCAGCCCTTGTAACCATGTGCTGTGTCCCTCAGGTCATCAGTGTGCCCGAGGGAGATTTCTTCTTTGACTTCGTGAGACACCTGACAGATTGGATAAAGAAAGCAAGACCAGCAAAAGATGGTAACCAGCATCTGTTCTCCACTGTGGGTCACATACAGCCCTCCTAGAGCCCTCCAGCCCCTTCAGACAAGGTCAACCACACAGTCTGCCACATCTGTTGGGCCACACTACTGTGCATGTGCTGTCTGCATAGCCCTGGGGACATCACTGGGAGATGCTCTGCTCCATAGACCTGGTCCCTGTGAGGAGCATCTGCAGGTTTGCAGCTCTCCAGGGATAGTTTCAGTGGTGGGATTCATCCCACTTCGCTGCCCACATCCACAATGGAGCTGGCTGCAGCTCTGCTGAATCTACCAGTGGCTGCAAGACAAGGGTGCCTCCAGGGTGCAATTCCTCTGTCCTGCATTAGGCATGAGCTCTATCATTGAATCCAGACATTCCTTCCATTCTACTAAAGCTTTGTAAGGGAAAGATGTGGTTTTCTCTGCAAGGTTAGAGCCCATTTGTCCCTGCAAGGGCCCCTGTCCCTGCAGGTTGTGATGGCACATGGACACCACTGGCTTTTAGGGACACATTGCCAGCTGGTAATCACAGTGTTGCTTTTACATACTTACTCCTGCTTCCCTTGCACAGGTATAGTGCCTTCTCTCACCTACCAAGTGTTCTTCATGAAGAAGCTGTGGACCAACACAACACCTGGAAAAGACTCGATGGCAGACTCAATCTTCCACTATTACCAGGTACTATGGGAGCCTGCAGTAGCAGTGGAGACCTGGGAGGAATTAGGAATTGGTTATGAAGACCTTTTCCATCTGCAGACGGATGAAGTCTTGCATTAAATAGGAAGAACTCTTGCCTTAAATAGAACCCTACAAAGATCACTGTTGAGTTGCATGGCAAGGAGCAGTCGTTATGCAGTTCAGAGTAGTGAGCTCAGCTGGGATTTGGGCCAGTAGGTCTTGGGTAGGCATCAAGAAACACTAGAAAGCATGTCCAGCCTTAGCAAGGAGGCTGAATTCAGAAGCATCCTGAGGGTTTTCAGCCACCTCCATTCATGGAGATGAGCTGTGATGGTCCCATCAGTCAGGTAAGTTACAGTTCTGCTCTTGTTTCTTCTGGGATGGGACCTCCATGTCCCAAAGCTATCTCACACACATACAATCCCTGTGTTCTTGCCTGGATTAAGTAGTTATTCCAATGTGGCTGTATCCCTCAATGCTTGAGTTGGTCAGCTGACATATTTTCAGATACTTGGAAAACTCATTCAATTCCAAGTGGCCATTACTAGGAGTGGATTTCCTGGGATGAGGGAGCAGGAACGAGCCTGCAGTTTCACACACCTGACAGCTAACATGGGGACCTTCCTGTTCCACTTAACTGGAGACTGGTTTAGACCAGAGAGGATCTTTAATGTCTAATATGGTCTCAGCTGAGCAGCCGCCTCTCCACCACAATTAACACAACTGCTATGAGTGTTCCCAGGGCTCAGCCTCTTAAGCAGGGGCTGGGTACCCCTGCAAGCTCCATTTAACACCTGAGAGTGAAGGTCTGTGATCATCTCCTCTGAATCATTCCTTCCTCCATGCAGGAGTTACCGAAGTACCTGCGTGGCTACCACAAGTGCACACGGGAAGAGGTCCTGCAGCTGGCGGCTCTCATCTACCGGGTGAAGTTTGAGGATGACAAGTCCTATTTCCCCAGCATCCCCAAGCTCCTGAAGGAGCTGGTGCCTCAGGACCTCATCCGGCAGCTCTCTCCAGATGACTGGAAAAGGGTAAAACAGCAGCTTGAGTCAAGACCAGTCACTTGTCTGACGTTCAACATTGAAGTGGCGCTGCCAGATTAAGGCAACCCATGGTCCCTCTTGAGTCTTAGCAGAGCTGCAGCCTCCTGAGCATCACCAGGAGGAAGAATTGCATATGTGTGTTCATATACATATGCCTTGCAGTGGGTTTTCTTTGTGCTGCATGTGGCTGTGGTGGTGGATGCAATGTCATATGGACACATGCTGGGAGATGGTCTCATGTAAAGGTGTGTTGTTTAATGCAGGCTACTGAGGAAAGGGGTAATGCTTCCTGCTTTACACAGGGAGAACTCCAGCACAGGTACAGGCAGGTTTAGATCCATAAAATAACAGAGGTATCTCACTTCCAATAGTCATATAAGTCCTTTCTGTTTCCTGGGACTTGAACTCGACCATGTGCCCAACCAGTGAGCTATCAGCTTCTCTGGTTGAAGGTCTCTCAGTCTCCCCTGCTGCATAAATTGGAGGATCAAAACTTATTATCCCTTATAATCCCAAGGAATTTAATGGAGTCACCAGCACAGCTCATCTGAGGAAGAAGGACCTGCGTCGGTTCCAGACCCTGCTCCAGTGACCAACCAGCACTTCTGTGACAGGTTCATTGGAGCAGAGACTAGAACCAACCATCTCTGTAGGGAGTGATGTTCCTTCCCTGCAAACATCCCTGGTGCAAAGTAATGCGAACCCTCCAGCTCTGTTGTGTTCTCTGTTGCAGTCCATCGTGGCATACTACAACAAGCATGCGGGCAAAACAAGAGAAGAAGCCAAGCTTGCCTTCCTAAAGATTATCTTCAAGTGGCCTACGTTTGGATCTGCATTCTTTGAAGTGAAGGTACCTGCCCTGCTTGGGGGTTCTCTGGCAGCTTTTAGCCAAGGCCAGGAGACCCATATCACAGAGGGGTTACAGGTAGGGAG